TTCTTTCTTTCTTTTTTTTTTTTTTTTTTTTTTTAATAAGACATATTTATCATGGCGAGGAAAGCGAAGGAGAACAACTCCCCGCGAGGAGCTCGAACCCTCCGGAGACAATGAGACATCTCCGTGGAAGAGCCAGCGCGGATCTGGGAATGCAGCAAGGATTTAATCGCTGTGAAAAAAGCCGAGCGGTCCCTCCGTGGACACGTTGTCTGAGGCTGTGGTGGAACCAAACGGAGGTTTCATGTGACGTGACATAAGAACGCAGCAGTCAGGGAAGGGGGGGAAAAAAAAAAAGAGATGTTATTTATTGTCGAGCCGCGGCTTCTGTTAAACCCCGGCCCTCAGAAATATCGCGTTAGGCTTTATCTCCGCGGAGTTTATTTTATTTTATTGTCCAGAATGAAAGAGCCCAGATAAAATTAAATATACAAGAGATACGATTAAATATACAGTGGGTATCAATTGGCCAAACAAAACGCACAGTGGCTCCTCGCAAACTCTTGGCTGCAGAGAGAAGTCTCCCTGCCTTTTTTAAACCCGACTGCTGCTGGATTGAGCCTCACCCATCAGATTATTTTCAGGCCGAGATAGTTTCACCGGTTTTGAGGGTATTTCTGCTCTGTCTTTATGGTGGAAAAAGTTTATGCTTTGAGGAAAGAAAAAAAGAGAAGGAAAGAGATAAAAGAACCGTAAAAAAGGTCAGAGAGAGAAGGGGGAAAAAAGGAAGGTTTCGTTTTGTAATTTTAGGCTTTGGAACGGGGGTTTTTTTGGACTTTTTTAGAGCTTGGGTTGAGGGAGGGAGGAAGGATGAAAAATCAAAGGGGGAGAAAGTTAAGAGCAAATGGCCTGGTGACCGTGTTTGTTTTCCAAAGGTGGTGGTGGGGAAATAGCAACAGCAACTGGACTGGTTTTGGAATCAACATTTTGCCAACGGTAGCTCCGGATTCAGGACTGCTGAGTACAAAGCCATGCAGGCAGGGAAGGGGGTTGTTTTCTAAATACAACCTGTGCTTCCAGAGGGGGAGAGGGAGAGAGAGACAGAGACACTCAGGAGCAGGCCAAAGGCAGCACATTCTTGAATCCGTGCCCCTGCTCAAATCTGCTGAGAATATTTGCTCTGAATTCCAGAGACATTGTGAGTTCCTGTGTAAACAGCAAAGGGAGCCAACTGTGCCAGGACATGGTTACCTGGAGAAAACATATTGATGTTTGCTGTTTTCAGCTTCAAAACAAACAGACCGGGCAGAGGCCCTGCAATAAACCCACCAGACTTTTAATTTCGGAAGGTGCAACGTTGCTGTGTGTGTGAAGGGCTGATTTGAATAGGTCAGGGCTGAGAAAGCAGGACTTTCATTCCTTTCGTGCTTGTGGCCAGCAATTCTCCCTCCTGGACCCCAATATTTGGGTTGTTTTCTGTGTTCTGTGGACGTGGGTGTGTGCAGGTGACACACATCCCCATGGATGTACCCACGTGTTCAATGGGGAGTGTGTGCAGATATATTTAATTGTGCAGCATATAGAGAAGTACAGGAGGAAATAGATGTGTGCAGATGGAACCACGTGCGCTCTTGGAGCACGTTGTACATCCTGGCAGGGGGGAAAAAAACCAAAAAAAAAAGGTGCAACCAACAGCCAACCAAACCAACCAGGAAAACTGTTGTGTGTGTGTCCCCCCCAAAAAAAAATTCAGCTCAACTTTTGCACTGTAACATTTGTTGGAGCCTCCTCAGGCTGCACACGGGACGAAATCTGCTCCAAGCATCTGTTCCTCCTGTTCTGCGGGACCCTATTCATGTCATGGGCCTTTCAGGCCCCAAGATGGATTCATGGGCCGGGGACTATTATTGTGTGTTTTCTCCTAACCTTTCAGGTCAGCTTCCAACAGACAGCTGGAAACGGCCTGTCACGTGGCCTTGGGGTGCCAATGTTCTGCCATAGGGGTGTCAAGACCCTGGTAGCCGGAAAAATCGTTTTGGGGAGCCCCAGAGATGCAGAAGACCACGTACTACGACGGCTCCACGCTCTTCGGGGGCGGCTACTCCTACGGGAGCGCCAACGGCTTCGGCTACGAGGGTCCCCAGCAGCCCTTCCAGGCGGCCTCTCACGTGGAGAGCGACTTCCAGAGGTCTGCCTGCTCCCTCCAGTCTCTTGGCAACACGACCAAGAGTAAAGAGCTGAACGGGAGCTGCATGAGGCCCAGTTTGCCCCAGGAGCACCACCCGCCCCCGCCCGTGTCGCCGCCCCCCAACCCCGCCAACAACGCCGGCGGCAACAGCAATAACCAGCCCGGGGGCGGCAAGAACGCCCCCGGCAAAGCCAACCTGGGCGCCAGCGCCAGTCTCACCAAGCAGATCTTCCCCTGGATGAAAGAGTCGAGGCAAAACTCCAAGCAGAAAAACAGCTCCCCCAGCGCAGGTACTCGGTCGTGCTCTCGGGGCCGTCTGTCTGTCTCCTGCTTGCCCCGCACAAGGTGGGGAAGCCACTGGTCAGGGTGGGCCCGTTTGGAGGGAGGGGAGGACGCAGAGAGGATCCAGAGAGGATCCAGAGAGGATCCTGGCGCTGGGCACGAGCCCGTCTTGCAGCTCTGGCCCCACACACTTGGTTTGTTTCCGACATAACCGCGGGGAGACGCGGCCAGGTGGTTGTTCACAGGTGATGTCCGACCGTGCAGACACAGAAACATGGAGATGGGCACCCACCTGCTCAGCCTGGGGCTGCTAAAGCTGTTTGTTCTCTTCCCACCTCCCTGCCTCCAGACATGGCAGCGAACACGGGCTATGTGGGCACCTGGGGAGCAGATGCACAAACATCTGCACCTCCTCGCACAAGGACACACCAAAGGCTGACAGGATCCAAAAAAAAATTAAAAATCACACTGGGAATATCCCTGTTTTGACAAATGTATTGGTGTAAACTTAGTGGCACACACTTCACCCTACATTAATGTAATTTAGCTGTTCCATCACGTTTCTCTCACAAAAAGGTGGGTACGAACGTCATCTGGTGTCGGACGACGTGCACGCAAATACTTGTGTTGCACAAATACGAGACACACAAATATTGGTGTTGCGCAAACACCAGACACACAGGACGTGTCTGAGTGTGTCTGAGTGTGCATTCCCACCTCAGCCAACCAAACACCTCCCAGCACTGCCCCATGTTAGCATTAATTGACTTTGCAGCCCCTGCCCCCCCCCCCACTGCCAAATATTATTTTCTCGAAATTATCTGCTGGAAATAATCGACTCCTAAATAAATGGCCCTGGAATCCTTTTCTACATGACATGATCAAATTTTCATAAAGCAGGGGCAGCTTTGGAGAACAGAACTCTTAATAAATGCCACGATTATGGAGTGCAGGCTAATGCGAAGGGGTGATGAAGGGGGAGGGGGGGTCGAACCCTCGCGCCCGTTCCAGGATTTATTAAGAAACGATGCTTTCAATTTCTGCGTGTCAGTAATTATCTCTTATTTCATTTTGGGGGCCCCGGCAGAAACCTGCGGTGGCGAGAAAAGCCCTCCGGGCTCCTCGGCCTCCAAGAGGGCCCGCACGGCCTACACCAGCGCCCAGCTGGTGGAGCTGGAGAAGGAATTCCACTTCAACCGCTACCTGTGCCGGCCCCGGCGCGTGGAGATGGCCAACCTGCTGAACCTCAGCGAGAGGCAGATCAAGATCTGGTTCCAGAACAGGAGGATGAAGTACAAGAAAGACCAGAAGTCCAAAGGCGTGGGGTCCTCCTCCGGAGGGCCTTCCCCCACGGGCAGCCCGCCCCAGCCCATGCAATCCTCCGCCGGCTTCATCAACGCCTTGCACACCATGGGCGGCAGCTACGACGCCCCCTCGCCGCCTTCCTTCAACAAACCCCACCAAAATGCCTATGCCATGTCCAGTAACTACCAAAACCCCATCAAAGGCTGCCCCTCCCAACAGAAATACGCCAACACGGCCCCCGAGTACGACCCGCACGTCTTACCGGGCAACGGGGTGGCCTACGGGACTCCCAGCATGCAGGGCAGCCCCGTCTACGTGGGAGGCAACTATGTGGATTCTATGCCCGCCTCCGGCCCCTCCCTGTACGGCCTCAATCACCTGCCACACCACCAGGCTGCCAGCATGGACTACAACGGGCCCCCCCAGATGCCCCCGAGCCAGCACCACGGACCGTGCGAGGGCCACCCCACCTACACAGACCTTTCCAGCCACCACGCTTCTTCTCAGGGCAGAATCCAAGAGGCGCCCAAGCTCACCCACCTGTGATAGGGGGCCGGGGTGAAGCAGCTGGGAGCCCTCCGTGGGGCAGGGGAGAGGGGAAGAGGGCAGGCTCAGCTTCAGGAACATTTGTGTTGAGCTGTTTTCCTTTCTTTCTTTCCTCGGCGGGGATGTTTCCACCGGCCTGTCGCGCTCGCCGTTGTTATTTCTGGGATTTCTTAGGCGCCCTTTGGGTGTTCACTGCCTAAAGCAGCTCTCTCTCTCTCTCCCTGAAGGGATATACCTCCTGTGTTTCAACACAAATGCTTCTGAAATGGGTTTGGGGTGGGTTTGTGGGAATGTGGCAGGTTCGGAGCAGCGACACCCCCGAGCTCCAACCCGAGCACAGATCACCACTGACAGTCCTTGGACAACTGGAAAGGAGAAGAGTCAACCAGCCAAGTCTTTGCAGTTGGTGTCTCTGCACCCTCACAAACGTGCACACAATTAGAAGAGATTCACCAGGGAATTACCCTCTGGCTCCTCCTCGAGATCAACCTGTGCTTTCCTCTCCAGAGAGGAAGGGAGTCCTTCTTCCACCGAGTAACTTCCCACCGGCCCCCGCACGGACTGCAAATATCCACACCTGCCAACGCGTGGGATTCACGCTCTTCCCCTCCAGTCCCCGCTTCCCCTCTCAAAAATAACAATAATACTAAACAAACAAACAAAAAAATTAGAATAAAAGAGCTCTGAGAATCACAAAGGGTTCGGGAAATAAGTTTTTGAGATGCCTAAACCCCCTCCCAGCAATGAGAGAGCAGCCCAAAGAGAGGAAGGAAGAGCTGACAGGTCTGAATATTTTCCCGCCTTTGCCTCTGATGACGTGAAGTTTGTAGTTTTCGGGGGGGGTTGGTATTTTTTTCTTAGGGGTTCGTTGACAGAAAAGCAATCTTAGGACTTAGGAGTCCTACGCTTCTTCTTTCCTCCTCTTCTCTCTTTGACCTTACGTGAAAACAGGGTATATTTGAACACATGGAATGTCCTCCAATCGAAGCAGAAGTGAATGGATCACTGGGATTTGCTGATGCTTTCTTGTCTGGACATCTTTGTTGCACTTAGAGTTTACATATAATGGGTATTAAAACAACTTTGAAGGGCTCTCGTCCACCTCAGTCGAGAGGCCCTTCAATAGGTGTGTGTTCTGGTGAACATTCATATATATTTATTGGTTATAGCCAGTTTAAAATATTTTCCCTTTTTTTGTATTATTTATCCCCGATATTACGTATTTATATGAGGGAAAGAAAGAAAAAAAAAAAAAGAATCAAATTGTACTTTTTTAGTATTTACTTGTTACAGAGGACATTGTGTTTTCCTTGTCATTGTACAACGAGCTTATTTTAGTTATTGTAATTTAGAAAGACCAGTAGTTTTATGTTACCTTCGTACTTATGAATAATGTAATTAGTTCTACTGGAGGCATGAGAGCAGAACCAGACTGTAATTGTATAGTCCTGAATTAGAAGAACTATAGCTAATCCCTCCCTCCCACCTCACCCCTCCTCTTTGGAGAGCTTTCTTTGTTCTTACAGTAGTTATTTGATTTCCTCGCTTAAAGGGTTGTCTGTCGAACAATTCTTGAATAAACTTTCTGTTATCAATTTTTATCTCGTCCTATCAGTCGGATTGAAAGGTAAAAAAAAAAATAAAATAGGTTGTTCGTAGGTAAAAAAAATTAGCGAAGGGAAGGCGAGGAAGGGGCGGATGGAGCGCAGGGTCCGGGATTGGGCTCGGTGATCCATGTTTGGGGGGAAATCCTGGGAATTGGGGCCCCCCCCGCGCCCCCTGCGCGTCCCAACCCGCGCCCGCGGCCACAAAGAGGGAATCACGTGGCGCCGGGGCCGGGCTTCCATTGGGCCGCGAAGGAAAACAAAGGAAAAGGATTAATCCCAAAAAAAGGAAAAAAAAAAAAAAAAAAAAAAAAGAAGAGG